GTGTCATTGTAGAGCTAACTGAAAGCGCCTATGTAATCAGGTCCACCTTTGCTTAAATTTTTGAGATCAGTGAAGCTCAGCTAGGGCTGCCCTCCCAGATGCACTGACCAAGTGCACCAGGTTTCTTTGATGATAAAATATCTAAGTAGAAATTCCTTTCCTAAGTGGAGGGAAGACAACTTTACCCTCCCCCAAACATGGACTCATCGTTTGTTTGTTTTTTTAATTGACTTTATAGCAAAATCAACAGATTTGGAAGGGAAAGATCATGTTTTACCCAGGAAGCATTTGGGAGCACATAAGAATTAACTTGAGTTTCTCTAACCCCCTCCCTCTTTTGCCATGGCCATTTGTAAGTGAAGAAAATCTGTTAACGGCTGCTATGCCTTTGCCCAGTTTCTGTTTTGAATGAAATCACAAAGCATTTATCGAAACTGACATGGCAAAATGCTCCATCTGGTTGGCTGATGTAGAGGTGTTGCTTTATTCAACTACTGCTGCATAAAGAAGGTTGTAGGACCCATGAGAGAGATGCATCATTTACCCTGGCTTGAGCTGAATTTCTGGTTTCTTGCTTCTTGCTCTCACCTTCCCTGTTGTTTTTTTTCCCTGTCTCCACGAGAAGCAGGTCCATTGCTGTGCTTCCCACACATTACTTCAGCTGTTTCAATAGTGTTTAGTAGGTTGAAAATCTTTTTTTGATATTTTATTTTATTTATATATGTGTGCATACATCATGATGTATTCTGTCAGCATACTTTGCAGAAATAACTGCTGAAGTAATGGAACATTTACTGGATGGTACAGCATCAGACTGCAGATGGGGAGGCAGGAAGCATTGAATGTTCCTGCGCAAAATCCCTGTGGTTGGGTATTGTGTTAAGGAAGGCATGAAAGAATCTTTAGATACACAAGCCCTTGTCTAATTTCAGAACTATTGCACAGAAAATAATTCTTAATCAAGCTGCTCTTTAGACTCTAAGTTTAGTAGATTATACCAGTGAAAAGCAATGAAAAAGCAAGCCAGAATGGTAGACTAACTGTAAGATTCTACCACAGGTTTTGTATATCTTCAGAGACTTGGCCATCTATGGTATTTATAAGCAAACTTCTTCTCCCTCCAGTTTTCCAGTTATCAGCTGGAAAAAAAATCAGATCTCAAACTTAGGAAAACAAAGAGAAACCTGAAAACTTGAAATTTCATCTTTCTCCATTATTATCCAAGGAATCAGTATGATCCTGTATTTCAGTATCTTAGCCAATTACTGAAACCCTTTATATATATATATATATATATATATATATATATATATATATATATATATATATATATATATATATATATATATATATAGCTATCTGGATAAAGAATCTCCTTGTTCTTGCTATACAAGGGTTAAGATTATTTATTATCCCATAGAAAAACAAACAACCAAACAAACAACAAAGAACTGCTATTTTAACGTTTGGATAACTATGTGTCCCAAAAATAAAAATAAGAAGCAGCAACAAAGGTACAATAACCTCTTAATTCAGGTCTTAATTCCTTCGATTCTCCTGCAGTTAGTAAAATGTTTTCAAAACTCACTCTAGTATAAGTGTAGATATACTATTTACACTTCAGCTTTATATGTTGCATTGGTTGCCAGTTTGCTTCTAGGTGCAATTCAAGGTGCTGGTTTTGACGTTTAAAGCCCTACGTGGCATGGGACCAGGTTAATTCGGGAACTGCTTCTTCCTGGCTATATCTATCTCCCCCAGCAGATCCGGCAGAAGCGGTATGCCCCAGGTCCTGTTTGATAAGTAGGTCCATCTGATAGGACCCAGAAGACACACCTTTTCTGCTGTACTCCCTGCTGTCTAGAACATCATTCTCTGGTGGTGAACCTAGCCCCATGGAATCAGGCAGTCATTAAATGAATTTAGCTTCCCCCACTGGCTTTGCATGTGGGAAGGTTGCAGATGGTGATCACATGACTCAAAGACACTGCAAGTGTCATAAATATATGTAATTGCTAAGCACCCAAATTTTGATGATAATAATAATAATAATAATAATAATAATAATAATAATAATAATGATGATGATGATGATGATGATGGTGGTGGTGGTGGTGGTGTTGGAAGCGACCTTGGAGGTCATCAAGTCCAACCCCCTGCTCAGGCAGGTAACCCTATACCATTTTGGACAAATGGCTGTTCAGTTTCTTCTTAAAAACTTCCAGTGTTGGAGCATTCACCACTTCTGGAGGCAGGCTGTTCCACTGATTAATTGTTCTAACTGTCAGGAAGTTTCTCCTTAGTTCTAAGTTGTTTGATCATGGGGATGCTACAATGATCATAGGTATGTGTGTGTGTGTGTGTGTGTGTGTGTGTGTCTGTCTGTCTGTCTATCCACACACACATAGATGATATATTAATAGGGCTCCTCTCACTGAAAAATGCCCATGTTTAAGCATTAAATAATAGTAATAATTTGGAATATTCCATCTTTTGGGGTTGGTAAAGATATTTCTTTCTCATTCCTGTTTTGAGTTGCTGCAAAATAGCTATGTTTATTTGAAATAATTTTATCTCTGAATAATATGTTTATTAAAGATAGTGGTAAAGAGCATGCCCGAATGTCTCTCTCTTGAAATAGTTCAAAAGCAACTCATAATATAGTTTAATTTCCTGCATGATCTTGAGCTATAAATAAAGCGAGAAAGTTCAGTGCAGCTGTTCCAAAACCATTATCATCTGGTACTTTCATTGTATTATATTAATAATCTGAGTCTTTATTTTAGCAGCTGTTTGATCAGGTGTTCACAATATGTCACATATAATCATTCCTAGACAGTGTGAAAGGTCATTGTGTTTTGAATCTAACATACTCAGGGAAACTTCAAAGTGTGTTGTCCATTTTCTTTAGTTAAAACAAAAAAAGTAAAGGACAGAATGACTAGATAATAGCATACTGTCCTTTGTGTACCTTTATCAAAATAATATATTTTCCATTGGAGCAATACCTTGATGTGTTGTTAAAAAAAATCAGGAAAAAGGGAATAATCAATTCTCTATTACCCTTTTGCTTTTGTAGATCATATAGTGTTGCATGTGTTTGATTCATAGTTATTCTTGATATTTTTTTAGAGGAAAAAGGAAAAATACACTCAACGAGTCAGTACCAATGTCTCAATAAATTCAGTTGAATGCAGCCAGAGACTTTTAGTTTTGATTCAGAATACTTTTGTGGGAGGAACTGAAAAATTTAGAAGCATGTTATGGATGTAAACAACAACAAAAATCCTATTTATCTTGAGCTATAAACTTTTGTATAATAGTTACTGTTCAAAGCTAAGTCATAAACAGAGAAGCAAAGGGTTTCACGCTGTGAAATGTAATACTAAAATATTTCTGGATTCCATGTGGTGGGAGGACATTTAACACTGTAAGAACAGTTGGTTTCACACCCTCCCAGCAGATTCTTCAAGAAAACCAATATCGTTTTAAATTTTTTTCCAAAGTAGCATGAGTTGCCAATGTCTGCAAGTTTTTGAAACAGCTGTACTTTAGAAACACAACTCTCAGCTGGGTTTTTTCAATCTGTTCCAAAGTTAATGATATTGCGAGAAAAATAGTGCTCTGTCAATTAAGCCTTATAAAACAGAAATGTATTATAAGTTCCATTAATGAAGGTTACCTAGGAAATGAGAATACATAGTAATTGTCAGGCACAGGAAGTCAGGAGCCAGGGTTGAATTCAAAAACTATGAGTTTATTCCATCATCTATCAATGATCAAGGAAAATTGGCGCTAGATAAAAGTCAACAGACTTCAAGGAAGGGGTTGACATAGGCCTCTTATGATGACACAGTGATTCCAAACTGATGATACATTTGACACTGCCCTTGCACTCAGCCTGGTAATCTCCTACAGTAATAACTGAAAATTATATAAAACAAAATTTAACTTCACTCAGAGTTGTATAAAATAAGATTTGTTGTCTCAAATAAAAAATAATCAAGAAGAATATCGGGATATTCTTACCCATCGGAATTCTTTAAAATACATTTTACAATATGATGGAATAAATACTAGTAGGACGATGTTCCTCATGATTGAAATGCTTAAACTATCATTAAAAGGCCATGAAAGTTCAATAAGAGTATAAAGTTTTTTCTCACTTTTTGTACTCATCATCATTTCAAAATAAAGGGATTGACTTTATATCATCAGCATCACAGGGTTTGTTTTCTCCTGTAGAATGCTATAAAATGCATTTTGATCATAAATTAATCACATAATTCCTTTGATCAGATAATTTCCTTGATATATCACATCAAAGTGAACTCATTCAGATTTATATGATTAATGTTGTTTTCAAAACTATTTGAGTAAATTCAGTTTAATCTTTTGTTTTTAGTAATGTCAGTAATGAAAAAAAAATGTATTATGGTTATATATAACTAGGATAATTAGAAATTCTGCACTAATGTAAATGCCAGTTTTATTATTGGTAATATATAATGTTGGAAACCACTCCTATTTTCAGTTTCAGCTTTACAATATACATTTTGATAGTCTTCCATAGTAGGTTGTTTATTAGACTCAGCTTTATTCCTCACCAGAAGGATCTATCCCTTCAGAATGAGTGGATGCAGCATATCAAATAATACTTGGAAATACAAGCATCAAATATCAGTTTCCTTTTTATTTTCTGCTTTGAAAGAGAATAACCATCATCAAGTGATATCCTAATGCAGTGTTTCCCAAACTTGACAATTTTAAGGCATGTGGACTTCAACTCCCAGAATTCCACAGCCAGCAACGCTGGCTGTGGAATTCTGGGAGTTGAAGTCCTCATGCCTTAAAATTGTCAAGTTTGGGAAACACTGTCCTAATGGATGCTAACATTTGTCTTGCTCAATAGAACATTGCAATGACACTTTTAGATTATTGTAATAGGACAACATAGTTGATAAATTTTGACTTACTTCTTTTTCTGCATGGATTTCCAGGTGGAGATTGAAAAATTGGACTACCACCACTATTTGCCACTGTTTTTCGATGGATTATGTGAAATGCAATTTCCTTATGAGTTTTTTGCTCGGCAAGGCATCCATGACATGTTGGAGCATGGTGGGAACAAGATCCTTCCTGTCATTCCTCAACTCATTATTCCAATAAAAAGTAAGTCTGAAGAATGAAATAGGGTCTAGGGTTTGGAGGCTGCTAATTAAGGAATAAAATATGGCAGGCCTTGTATTTCTAGTAGATCAGTGGTTCTCAACCTTTGGGTCGGGACCCCATTTGGGGTCGAACGACCATTTCACGGGGGTCGCCAAACAAGGCTGTCCGCCATTTTTTCCCCCTTTTCTTTGGCCACGCCCCTGGCACCCGGTGATATATAAATGGTTGGGGGTCACCACAACATGGGGAACTGTATTATGGGGTCACGGCATTAGAAAGGTTGAGAACCACTGTAGTAGATGATAAACCTGAGTCAGTTGTAAGGCCATCACCAAGGCCCAAAGAACTGTGCTGCCTGAGTTGTTCTTTTCTTACTCTAATGCCAACCATGGTACAGTATATACAGTAAGTTGTTAAACTTCTTTTCACTCTTGTTTTTATATTCCTCAAACTAAGATATGAGAACACTGTAAAAGAAATAGTTTGCAGTACCTCAACTTTTTTATTTTGCTATTTTGAGTAGCTTGGTTGTTTTTCTTTCTAAGTCAGGTTTTCCCGCATCAGGAGATCATTTTCTATTTCTGTTAAACATCTTTGTGCTCCTTAATATAGGCAGGAGCCACTGCCTGAATGCATTATTCTTGCATACTCTTCCCTTTTTCCTTCTTCAATATAATGCAAATTGATAAATCTTGGTGTTCACAATTATATTTGAACATCAAACTATAATTTCAGGACACAAGCATTATTTGGGGGGGAAATAGTGAAATGACCCTTCCTTCTTTTGAAATACGCCAGGATTTGGATTCAGTATAGGTAGTCCTCAACCTACGACCAGAATTGGGACTGGAACTCCTGTTGCTAAGTGATATATTCATTAAGTGATGCAGTCATTACGGGAGTTGTGCTGGTTTTACCTTTTTTGCCATAGTTTTTAAATGAATCTGGCTTACCCCATTGACTTTGCTTTTTGGAAGCTGGCTGGCAAGGTTGCAAATGGTGATCACGTGGCCCTCGGCATCTACAACCATGATAAATACACACCAATTGCCATGGGCCCAAATTTTGACCACGTGACCACAGGGACACTGATGGTCCTAAGTGCAATATCACATCATGTCACCCTTTTCAGTGTCATCATAACTTTAAACAGTCACTAAACAGAGGGTCTTAAGTTGAGGACTATTTGTAAAATGGTTAAAACATTTTAAAATATTTTGGCCTAAAAAGAAGCATATTGTTGTGCTTATGTCTGCACAGCTCTTATAAATGCTAATAGATCACCCCATTTTCTACGCACAAGCACAGAGCCTCTCTCCAAAGACAATTTCTCAATCTTATAATTTAAATAGGCAAATTTAGAATGGTACCTGGCTGGTTTGGTCTGCCTCTTGTGAACAAGTTACTACAATGCTCTGCTACACTTTTGATAATAGCCAAGGTTGCTGTTAGAGAAAGAAATGCACGGCCAATCAAATAGGTACCTGGGATATTAGGGCTCTGAAAGGGGAAAACCATGGCATAATCTATTCTCTCCCATAAGGGCAACCTGCTGGCATCTTACCACACAATGGGGCTCCCTCTGGCAGGAATCCTTAAGAATGCCAGATTAGTCTCTGCTACCGCAGCCAAGGCAATGAATTTAGGAATAGCTAACTAGGCTGAAATGGAACTGCAGTGGCTGCAGTGAGGCTGCCTCATCCTGTTTGCTTGTTGTAGGTGCACAGAAGTGGGCTGATGTTTTTGTTTCAAGACAGCACAGTCCATTCCCTTCTCTCTATTGAGAGACCTACTATGCACACATGTGGGTGTTAAGCCCAGAAAACCTGAAGCTGGAGAGGGCAGTAAGGCAAGAGCCTGCTAGAACAGGGGTCCCCAATCCCTGGTACGTGGACCAATACTGGGCCGCAGCATGCCAGCAACTGGGCTGCACAAACAAGGAAAGCCCCATCTGTGGGATGCAGGCAGCACACAAAACCACACCCCCTCTGGCCTGCAGAAAAATCTCTCTCCAAGTAACCAGTCCCTGGTGTCCAAAATGTTGGGGACGTCTGTGCTAGAACAAGCCTGCTGCGCAGATCACCAGTGGGAAATCTTATTAAGAGGAGAGTGCTTTGAACAGGCCTCCACAAAATCCATCTATTGACACTTCAGAAGCAAAACTCAAGAAACTTTTACAATAGTCTGGGCTACCAGGAGAGCTCAACTTCCCCAGTCTGGGGCCTGTAGATATCTTTAACAATAACACTCATTGTCTCAGCCGGCATGGCCATAATTTCTCCCTAGCATAGCCCTTTTATGATTCTACTGACATGAAAAATGATTGTCAGAACTGCTTGTTGCCTTGTTTAGATAACATACCTGATAAATAACTTGGTGATTTAATTAGGCAGCTTATCAGGCCTATAGCAGAGTATCTGGAGTTTTTGATAAATGCTAGTTTGTACAGACTATAAACTTTTGCCTTGGATTTTTTTTAAAAAACCCCCACTTTGTAATATATTCCTGATTTAGAAACAATATTTTGAAATTTATGGTGCTAATTGTAATATTTCTGATGTGCAGTGCATTGGATTATTATTTTTATTATTGGTTAATTAAGCATGAGAGCAATCTAGTTTTTGTTGTTTGTTTATCTTGGGCTGCCTGTATATGCTGGAATTACTGTAGACTCACTAAGATTAGTTCTTCTGGATGTCTCAGTAAAATAAGTGGCAGAAAATCCTACTCCTGACTCTAGTGTCTTTGCTACTGGGTATAAGTCACACAACATAAAAATGGTTTAACGTCATTAATTTCTCTGTATTTAAATTCTTTTTATTTTCTTTTGGTTCATGTACTTCGTTAAATGCGTTTTTAGTATACCTCAGTTCAAGAACCGACCAATATTTTGTATTAATTTACCTAATGGCAAAATACTTTGTTTTCCTAAAAGTCAAATCATTTATTCACTTTTTTAGATTTTAAGGCCACTTTTTGATTCTGTAAATAGAACCAAATTTGGGGTTCAGTTAAAGGATTAGTTTCATGACAGGTATCTTGTGTTTATGATATAGGCTTTATATCAACACAATATAATGCATGTTAATTGTACAGTATAAGAAAATATTTGCTCACAGGCGAGTAACAATGAGGCAAAGGTGCAGGACAATGCAGTAGGTTCCCCCATGTTGTCTAACATCTAGATTAATGATTTGGAAACTGCATTACTTCAGGTTGATAGCCATTGCCCATGTTTAACCAAAAGGAAAATGTGTACTTTGCTTTGCCCAAATGATATTGTTCTTTCTTCCATGTAACAAATAAGATTTGAAATACCAACTTGAACAATTAGTCAAGTATTGTCAAGGTAGCCAACTACAAATGAACTGTGATGAAACTAAAATTCTGAGGGGGAAAAAAGTAACTGGAAGATTCAAGATCATAGGATAACTCGAGAATTTTATCTATCTGGGCATTTTGGAGAAATACCAAGGCCTAGTAGTGGAAGAGAGGAGGGTGTTGGAGGAAAAGGCCAAAGCACTGGTGGCATAAGCAATTGGGGCTGTGACGTCTAAAGTGGGAGAGAGGCTCCAACAGATCCCAGGAATAACATCAGAGCTCTCTATCCAGGAAGAATGCAGTGCTAGGAACAGCTACGATCCTGCACAAAACCCTCAAATTCCCAGGCCTCTGGTAGAGGACTCAAGATTAAGGAACACACATACTACCTGAGGCTCTAGTTCTCAATAGATGCTTTACTCAATGTAAAGCTATTACAAGTTAATTCAACCCAGTCACAATATTTCAGTTATGGAACATGCAGCAGTAACAAGGCTTTGTGAAGAACAAAATAGCAAAATTTGACCAAAAAAAGGTAACATTTCTTGCCTATTGTTCCATTGTTAGACTAAATGACACAGGTTTACACAATTTCTCAGACACATGACTTATATAAATGTGTTTTCTTTTTTGATAATTTATTAAAAAGGGGAATTAAAGTACTATGCATACTTGTCACTATAATATAAAATATTAAGCACTTCTTTAATTACATTTGATAGAGAGGAGCACCAACTAGAATACATAAAAGAGATACATTCAAATTCAAAGGGCAGTGTAGGTGTAAAATTCATGCAAATATTAAAGATGGCATAAAAATGTGGGCTTATCCAAATGTTAGCACTGAAGTAGAAAGATCTTTCCAGTCCCTCTATGACATCTGTTTTTTGGCTCCTCTTCCAAATTAATCATTACTGTACTCCTTTAGTCTCAACCCAAGCTACAAATTTTAATGATCTGGCACCTACAGTAGGGGTTTCCAGCTTGCAGATGGGCATAATTTCAACTACATAGCCATCAGTGGTGCAGAAGTGACCTTGTTGCTTGACCAGGACAAGGAACCAGATGTACTCATTCTGTGATCATTAGCTATAATTGAGCTTAAGTCAGGTTGTTGGAATTTTCTGGAATGATCAGTTCCAGGGAGTATTTAAAATAATCTCTCACATATAAGAATTTTTTATCTGTGACAATATGTTCTATTTTAATGTCTTTTTTGTTTTAATGGAAAATGTATATTTTCTCTTTCTCTTTCTGCCCAACAATTGCCTGTAAAGTATCTGATAAAACAATTCACAGAGTAAATTTAAGAGCATAAAAACAAACAAAATGGTATCTGATGAAGCTCCTGTCTAGGAGATTGGTTTTAACTTGTCTTCCTATATTAATGCTGCTGCTTGATTAACTGATGCTCTTTAGAGATTCTGAATCTGCGTCAGCCATGGGAGAGATTCCAAGGCTGTCTTAGAAGAATGCTATACAGCAATTTGGCTGGATAAAACTTACATCCAAGAAATGCAGGAAGGGGGAGATGTGCTTCTCATTCATGTAGCTAGATATTCTGTGAGCTTCTTTCCCTACCACGCAGTAACAGTGGGAAGCCATGATTTAAAATTGCCGGCTTCTCCAGTTCATAGATGTCATTGCTGTTGTTTTTTTTTAAAGAAAACATAACAAAATGCGCATTTCATTCATTTTCAGTGTTGCTGGAAATAAATCCGAGTAGTCACAGTAATAGAAGGTATTACACTGCACTTTAATACTGTCTAAGGAAACGGAGCTTCATCACAATTTCAAGTAGTGCAATATAGGAAATATAGCTTTATTGCATTTTCAACAAGCACAATACTTACTTATTGAGTTAGAAATGAACCAGCTTTATTGCAAATAGCTGACTGTTAACCTGCGCCATGTTTTGAAATATTTCTCCTGCAACAGGGTAAAAACTCAGTTGAACTGAAAGGGAGAAAAACAGTTATTTTAAAGAGATTGGATATAAAGAAATGGGTGAGCCAAAGAATTCAACGTCTTTAAAATATTTTCTTAATGTCTCTGAATTAATTTAATGCAGCAGTGCACAATTGTGTTTGAGCCAAAGGCTACATTAACCTTTCAATATTATACAAGAGGCAACACTACAGAAAATATTTCACATTGTGTATTTGAATTAAGTATTGCATCCACCAAACTGCTTAGAGCTTTCTAGTTTTCCATAATGGAGATCTAGAGGTTTCCTATTGGGACTATTGGCAAGAAGCATAGTCCTGTTCCTTTAACTAATGATCTCTAGCCTCTCTCCAAAATGATGGGTTTGAATGAAATCATTGAGAACCCATAATTTAAGGGAAATTGGGTAAAGGGCAACTCCTCTTCCCATTTCCTAAACTCTGTGTTTTTCCGAAACCATGGCATGTTTTCCAACATGGAAAACTGCATTTATATCATTTTTAAAGCCAGGGGTAATTGAGAAGTTGTTAGTCCAGACTTTTTTGCTGAACTAATTGGGAGGAGGCACTCAAAAATCTTCAGATATGTACAAATAAACAGGCTGCATGTAGTAGGATGGTTGTTAAATAATCAGAAGAGAACTCCCGCAGTTGCAGCTTCGCTGGGGTTTTGTCAGCCTGTTTAACTGATTGCTGAATATGGGAATGGAATCCTGGCAGAGGGAAAAACTCGGGCAAGTGAATAAAATTGTGCAGAGAAAGAGATTGCTTAGCTAGGCTTGCTACTGTTTTGCAAGAGAAGAAGAGGTAAAAAAGGAAGAAGGATGAGAGTGAAGAACAAGCAAAAGGGGAGCCTGGGAGCTGGAGGAAACTTGGCAGTTCTTCCTTTCCATCCCATTCTATATTCGCAATATTCATGCTTATCCATTTTTGCATTATTTCCCCCTTCTAGTTTCCTTTTGGAACTTGACATCTGTAATAGATAGAATGTGGTGAAAGTTTTTGTTTGTTAGTTGGGGGCTTTGCACTTCGCAACTGTGCAACTGTTCTCTGTAATGGAGCTTTTCATAACAATCTACAGCTGGTGACCTTTACTCCCTTACTATATCACTTTGGAGTGGGGAGCAGGAGCATGAAGAAATTTTAATTTAAATTCACATTTGAAAGTATAATTTTGAAATATAAAGGAGAGTACAACATTATTTTGTTTTGAATGAAACCTGAAATGGAACAGGACAAAAGGTGTTATTGATTTCAGTAGCAAATTCCAGCTGCTTGACACTACACAGAAAATTCTCAAGAAGGCAGGATAGAATCCTTTTTTTTAATCAGTTAGATTTTTTTTTTAAAAAAAAAATAAAGTTTATTTTTTGTAAACATTTTCTTTGTAAACATTTCTATCATTGTTCTTTTCTCCGAATAGTACCAATTGTTAATTGAAAAGAATAAAATGATTTCTAAGCAAGCAAAAATAAACAGGCTAATTGTTAGAGTAGACTGTCCTGTCAACCTTCATCCTTTTGCCTTTTCAATTCCCTTAGTCCCACTGCTACTGGTGATATGTTTCCCCCCTCCTTTTTCTTTCTTCTCTTTCTGGGGGTGGGGTGGGGTGGGGGTGGCAGGAACCAGTAAGGCAGGCAGCAAGAAGGAATAATAAACTTCATTCTTGGGGTTACTGAAGAGTCAGCACAAATTGTGGGAACAAATAACACTCAGACAAGGCAGTGTTTTATAACATTGGGACTGCAATCCATCTCTTGGTTCCTTCAAAGCCAGGCTAATAAAGGCCCACTTACAATCCCCTACAGAGTACAGTTTAATTAAATTTGTCTATTAGAGAATTTCTCCCCTTCCCAATACGTTCTTGAAATTAATTCTTCTGTTTTCTGCTTGTCTCTTTTCCTTCATCCAAGATGCGCTGAACCTTCGAAACCGACAGGTCATCTGCATCACGCTCAAAGTCCTTCAGCACCTGGTGGTGTCAGCTGATATGGTGGGGGAAGCTTTAGTGCCCTATTATCGGCAGATTCTCCCTATTTTAAACATCTTTAAGAATAAGAATGGTGAGTGATCCTAGCAATGCCGTGTCTTCAAATCCTTCAGTATAGAGGGGCTCAAGGCAATGTAGTAAGAATTTACTATAGTATATAAACTAAGATATATTTGGCACTTTCTTCTCTTTTATTCTCCAGGGAAGCTGTGAAATTAACACCAGCATTTATTACTTCTTATGTATACAGCTTATTTAACACATTACATAACCACTGGAGCAGTTCTATGATTTTCCAGTAATTAAAATTACTGTAGCATTCTTTAAGTGGATTGATAGACTGTATTTTTTCCCTTTTTAGTAAACAAATCAAGCATTGGCCTTTTAATTTGTCATGAAGGTTGGATACCTCCGCACAAGAATTCTGCACAGCTCTGAATGCCAGTCTTGAGATCTGAATTGATTTATTTGCAGTTCTTTTTTATTAGCTGAGTGATTATAAAACTAGTTTGAAAGGCTTCTGATTGGAGGAAACCTCTGTTTCAGCCCCCACTTCAGTGGGCTGAATATAACCAGCAGAACCTTCAAGAGCAAAGTGCCTTGTCAGCTTTGCTGCTCCCCATAGGAATTTAGCAAGACTGAAACAAGCAGGTTCTATCAATTTTTTGGTTCCCCCCCCCCTTCCATGTTCATTCCCCCATGACTGGAATGAAAGGCTTTGGTTTTCTTCATAATCTGCATTGATTAGGGTAGGACAGGATGGCGATTTTCAGCTTTATTCAGTGTTCTCAGTGTTTCTGAGTCAAACCATTTCCAAGTTGCATTTGTAGTTTAGAGTAGAAGCAACTTTGATGTAATACCATTACAGTACTTGCAATTGGTTGATTCAGTTTCAAGGGCAATGTGCTCATTTAAAATTTCATTATAAAATGGTCAAGCGGTTTGGTGATGTGGGTAAACAGAACAGTTCGGTAAACAAAAAAATCCTGTTTATCACACTCCAAGTGTGTATTTTTTTAAAAAACGTCTTGACTTCTTAAAATGAAGGAAACTTTGCATGCATGCACCTAGCAGCTTGCCTTTTATCATTCTTGTAAAAATATTTATTATATGGCATATAATGTGAATGGGTTGAAAGTTGAAAAATTATTCTGTGATTCTCTTTGCATATTGAAGCACATTAAGGTACCATGATTACAAAGCATGCTAATCAATTATATGATTTGGCAGCTGTCCATAAAATCTCTAGTGTTTCAGTAACAAGTTTAGAAGCTTTAATAATAACTACATTGGTCATTACCCTTTAAAACTCATATTGCCACAGTATACTTTATTCCTTTATTCAAATTTACTTCATAGAATTAAAAAAAATGATTGAGGGTTATAAAAAATGGTTGATGCATTGACAGTAGTTATGAAGAAAAAGCTTCTTAATGAACCCGAAACTCTAGATTTGTGTAACATGTCCATTAGAGAATAATTTCTGATATAGCTAAAAGAATGTGAATTAATGCTAGCTATGTGCAGCAATAATCTCTTTAGTTTTGAACCATACACTGAATGACTATACAAATAGTTTTCCTATTCCCTTGAACGAATGTTACAGTTTGTTCATTTCTTATTACATTTGTGTACTTTGTGTTTGTTTTTCTGAAAAAAACATGTTTTCAAATAATTAGTGCCTATTTATTGGATCTTACAGGGAACAATACTAATATTTTTAGGTCTTGCACTACCTTCTGGATTTTATGAATCAAACATCAGATCCTAACCGGCTCTTCTGAAACTTTTAACCACCAAGGTTTATGCTTAGAAATTAATATTTCAACCTATAATACAGGTTTGCTCTGATCAAATAATTATAATTATGCAAAAAAGGCACTATGGCTTTACAATAGGTATATCTTTGTTGTATTATATTGCTATATTATTTATTATCAGCTAGTCAAAGCACAATAGCTACCCTTCCTGGTTTAATATTCGCTTTTCATAGGTTTGTACCTGAGGCATGAATTAAAGCTGTTGTCAACAGTATGATATTATTCAGTGTCTTTCTTGAAATTAATAGGGTATAACCTGTGAGCAGTTTTTCTTAAGATCTCTTCATATTTGACTGTATCATGACACAAGTATTTGTTACCATCTGTTGTTGTTACTACAGTAGTAAAAGTTATGTTATTCATATTTTAAATGTAAATTCATGAAGTCACCTAAGTTAAAGGTAAGAAGGTAAAAAGAAAAAGTAAAATATGCTTTACTGTTTTGTATGCAGAAAACAGAAGATGAAAAGAGATCAAACAATATCTTCAAAGCTTAACATAAAATTCCATCAAGCCTCATGCTGAATGGATATTAACATCAGCATAGGGAGCAGAAATTACTTTGATAAGTGTTAGATAGCTGTGCCAAATGTATGTGTTTTTAAATGTAATGTTGTCGGATGAATGAAAACATCGGCATTGTCCTTTAGCAACTATAATATGCTGCCAAATAAAAGCAGTCATAATGTCTTTATGAGCTTTTAGAAAGCAGAAACATTTTGTCATCAGTATATTTTATTCAAAAGTGATCAATAATAGCTTGTGAAGTGCTGTGCAGATTAAATGATGCAGAATTTTAAAACAAAGCCCTATAAATCTCAACTGCAGGCAGAAAACAACATAGATGAAAATGGAATGAATTTGATCATTTTGTTCTTGTTCTCCTCAAACAGACACTGTTGATGAATTTGATCATGTTTGTTCTGCTTTCTTGATCTCCTCAAACAGACACTATTGGTCAATAAAATGGTGGCTCATTCAATAAAAGTTCAGTGTCAACAAAGTAATGTCCATTGAAGATAAATAAGCCAGAGGGATGATTCAATAAATGCTGGATATATATATATATATATATATATATATATATATATATATATATATATCTATATATATATATATATATATATATATATATATATATATATATATATGTCTTCCACAAATAAATTTATGAAATCTTTACTATGAAAATGTGTATGAATATCCAGGTATTTCATTTGTTAGGTTATGGGAGACAGCGACAATGTTCATACACAAGTTAAGCATGAAATTGTTTCATTTAGTGGATCCTTTGAATATGTGCTACTGTAGAGTGTCTCAGTTATAACCTACAAGCACAACTTAGTAAACCCCACTCTAATGTGTTGCTTAAATCTGTATGAGATCTCAATCTAGTGCAGGTAAAAACATGAAGCAGATTCTCCCTGAAGGTATCTCTGCTCTTCACTTTGTTTTCACCCCTCCCAGATATGTGCACAGTAAACGTAAGATTCAAAAAGTTAAGAAGGAAGGACTCACTCCATATGTGTGGCTCTGACTCTAATTGGGCAATGGCATGTCTTTTTTGTTTTTTGTGTTGCCAGAAACTTTTTTTAAAAAAAAGTATTGGCAGAAGAGGCAGGGAATAGCCAGTTGGATTTAACGATGTCATCTTGCATGCATTTCCAGGATGAAAACATGTTAAACCATGTTGAGTGCATCAGGGGGACATGGTCAGAGACTCCCTTTGTGGTTACAGAAGATTTACAATCCCAATGATACAAGGCACACTTGATTTGAGTGTCAGTCATTAAATTGGAAAACACTGATCTGACCAGCACTCTGCTCCTGAACACCATCATATTAAAACATATTGAATTTAAATCCATTGAATTCATTAGTACTTTCATTCATCTATTGGCCGCCTTAATTTTTTATTTTTCTTATGACATTTCTACATACTATCAATTATATTCTTATATATTCTTTAAGGAAAACATATATTGATAGTCTGTTGTAGTGCCAATAAAAATGTTACCTGCTTTATTAAAAAAATAAAGTCTCAGGATTAATTCCTTGCATTTTCAGGTTATATTAGATTTAGGAACATTCCCTATTCTATGAAGATCTATTACCAAATCCAAGTAGAAGATACCAGCTAGATGGATAAATGTTGAAACAGCTAAGATGGTTTCTTACGGACTGAATAGAAGTGAAATGAAAAAAATCATTATTAATTCATATGCCAGGTCCTTTAATTAAAGTGGTCAAAGATTCTTTATTCATATTTTTTTCATTTATTTCATTTTTAAGCCTAGTCTGGGCATAGGGCACAAGACAGAGGCAAGAAATTCAGAGTGTTTTGGGGAAAATAGAGAACATATAAAAAAATGATTCAAATGATTTTTACAGTGTTCAGCTATAGAAGAAGGCAGAAAGGGAAACAGAGATTCTTGCTGAAATGAAGAAAGACTATAGCAAAGAGAGATGTATTTGCAAAGTGTAATTTTCAGATACTATACATGTGCTAAAAGATGATATCTTAAGCCCAGGTATCACTAAATGGAAAAATAGAATATTTTTGGATTAGAGGGGGAAAAGTAGAAGTGTACAACTTGTATACAATACTGGTCCTAGATCAGTGGTTCTCAACCTTCCTAATGCCATGTCCCTTTAATACAGTTCCTCATGTTGTGGTGACCCCCAAATATAAAATTATTTTCGTTGCTACTCATAACTGTAATTTTGCTACTGTTATGAATCATTATGTAAATATCTGATACGCAGGGTGTATTTTCATTGTTATGAGTTGAACATAATTAAAGCATAGTGATTAATCACAAAAACAATATAGCAATGCTCGCTGGAGAAGCTTACTCTTCCTTGCTCAAAAATGTTGGGAGGGAGGGAAGGGGAAGGAAGGAAGGGGAAAGGAAGGAGATGGAAAAGGAAGGAGATTGAAGGGGAAAGGAAGGAAGGAAGGAAGGAAGGAAGGAAGGAAGGAAGGAAGGAAGGAAGGAAGGAAGGAAGGAAGGAGAGAGATTGAAGGGGAAGGGATGGAGATGGAGATGGAAGGAAGGAAGGAAGATTGAAGGAAAAAGGAAAGAGATGGAGAAGGAAGGAGACTGAAGGGGGAAGGAAGGAAGGAAAGAAAGAGAGATTGAAGGGGAAGGGATGGAGATGGATGGAAGGAAGGAAGGAAGATTGAAGGGGAAAGGAAGGAGATGGAGAAGGAAGGAGATTGAAGGGAGAAGAAAGGAAGGAAGATTGAAGGGGAAAGGAAGGAGATGGAGAAGGAAGGAGATTGAAGGGGAAAGGAAGGGAGGGAGGGAGGGAGGGAGGGAGGAGAGAGATTGAAGGGGAAGGGATGGAGATGGAAGGAAGGAAGGAAGATTGAAGGAG